AAATAAAATATATTTTACGCATCACACTTTTGGCTACAACTTTGCCACAGACAAAACCTCTCTAACCCAAAAATAAAAAAAATCTCGCATGCTAACTTTTTCATGTTAGAAATCACGATTTAAAACTATTTCACCATACATATCATTTTTTATTAATTAGATCGGTAAATAGTTTAAAGTTCCAACAAAATAGTCATCGAGTAGGACTAACCAAGAAGCTCTGTGCCAATTTTCAAAATTTTAGCGCAACTTTAAGTACACCAAAACACGAAATTATTGAAGTCATGCGTCGAGAGGACTATCGTTGTTTTTAACAGATTATACTTTTGACCTTCCGGCACTGTTGACTCAGCGAAACTGAACTTATATTTTATCTTATTTCGTTATATTAAAACTGCTGTTGCATTAGGTCAAATTCCCAATAAGTCAATTGCTTTAACATAGACCACGTTTTTAGCTCGGACTGTACTATTTGACTTACTGGGATTTTTTATCTACAGACACTGCAAACATTGTAGTTTTTGACCTAGCGGCACAGGTATAAATTATTTGACCTTCCGGGACTGTTGACTTTCTGCAACGCGTCCCTTTATATTCTGACTAGCAAATTAAATTTTGTGAAAGAGCAAAAAAGTATTAATTTTTAGATGCTGAATACAAAAAATAAAACTAAGAACATTTATATGTACTCCGTGTTTTTCTAATTATTTTAGAAACTTTTTTGTATAGCTCCAAACTTGAGTATCTAAACTGTATTACAAGTGAGGTTGTAGGCAGAATCTGCCCGCATGACGCCACGCGGCGCGGTGGGTAGCCCCTATATTACAATTTAAATTACAACCAAACTACGCCAGCTAAAAATTAAAAAAAAATACGATCCAAAAATTCAACTCTTTAGCTACAAAATCCACCGTTTTTACCTCATCAAAAAATAAAAAAAAGTAGCAGCCGACGAACTTTTTCATGTCATATTTTCAAACTCATTTAAAAGTACCGACTTGATTTGAAGATTTGTGATTTAAAATAGAAAATATTAACTTTTAAGCTTTTAATGAGAACCAATAGTGTCCTAGACTTATTGATATCATTCATACGAAGTTTCAACGATTTACCTTTAGTCTAAGTAGTCTAAATGTCGAGTTATTTTGAAGCAGAACATTGAGTTTTGGTGCCGTTTTCATTGACATCTAGCGCTTCTAACCTACAGTAAAGATGGCGGACCTGGCTTCACCTGCTTTAATGTTATTTAGATAGGCGTGCTCCATCTATTGGTCTTATGTGATCGTTGGGTCATTCACAGGGCAAGTCACCCTATCCAGAGCTTATGTTTTCTGAAAGATAACAGGTGTCTCCCAAATAAAAAGTCCGAGTTACAATTTTAGCATATGACATGCATTATTTGTTGCAGACATAGAGGTTACAAAAAGAACTCTCCTTGCGAAAAAGGAAATCCTGTTATTAACAGCAAGTAGTACACATAAGGAGAAAACAATCAACAGAAAACTCAATATTGCTGCCACATTCTTCCCCAAAACTCCAAAAATGAACAGTGCTGCTCTCCAGTGAGCAATTTTTGAACTTTTATGTTCCATGGAGGTTACATCTGTAACGGGTCAAATGTGTAGGGGGTAAAATAACGGCTAAACCACGAAACTTAAACAGCTGAATGTAAGCTGTTGTTGTGCCCTAGTCGCGACGCTAAACTGACATCGCACCTAACCTCCAATTCCAAGACAGCAGACGACGTTGGTGTCAGTTTGGTTGTTTGGTTGTTCGACTGCGTCTGAGGGCGGGCTACGGGAGAGAATAAGAGCAGCTGATCCACTTTGTGAGCGAGGCAGCTATAAAGCATGTTAAAGCTGTCATACGCCTGCCTTTGCTGACACGGGACTCAGCTGACTCTGTTTGTGCTGACCAATCAGGAAGCGTTTTAACTTTCGTCTCGATTCTGAGACGAAGGTGAGGGAAGAAGAAGAGTTGTGGAGGAGAGTTGTCATTCGTATTCCCGGCTTTTCGCGAGTTCGTTCGTCTTCAATTTGAAGAGTTTTTGTTTTCGGTTCGTCGCTTAAAAGTTAGCCTACTTTAAGTTCGTGGTGCATCGAGTGCGCAAAAAGTGTTTCACAGTATTATTACTTCGTTTGGTAAGTTGCGTAACACTTAGACAACTTAGGTTTTTCTTTCGAATACTTCTCCGTCACTTGTGTTTCGGCAGAACTTTGTCGAAGTTCATAGGCTAGGCCTGATTCGCAGACCTCGTCATACGCTTTAACCAACTCATTTAATTAAAGTATCGGAGTTGGTGACAGATCATTTCGATTAACGTCCCTGTGCCGTCCGTGGCCTTTCGCTTGAGGTGTCTGAAACTCCCCAAGGTCCCTCGTTAAGTGAGACCCATCGCAAACGACTGGATGAGTTTCAGCGTCTGATCGTGCAGACACACAAGAACCTCAAGGCTGCCTACGAGAGGCAATCGACATATTATAACCTCCGTCAAAGGAAAGGTGACTCACGAAGTTGGCGCGCAGGTGATGAGAAGACTTCACATCCTGTCTTCCGCTGCGGACGCCATCGTAGGGAAATTAGCACCAAAATATCATGGCCCCTGCATTGTGGTCGGTCGTCGAGGTGCTAATCTCTACGAGGTACGAGACGAGGATTCTGCTGCGGTACACGTCGTGCACGTGAAAGACTTAAAACCTTTCTGTGCACGTGACTAATATGCAAGGATCCCGCAACCGCAGCAACGTATTGCGATCCGTTTGTTCATCAGTCCTTTCGGCCACGTCAAGCTGCCGACAAGCAGCCATAGATAACCCTCGTCCGGGGGGTGACGTATCATCGTGAGCAGCTCTTAACCGCGCGTCCGAGACTCCGAGCCTGCCGTACTACCCTACCCTCGTAAACCCCACGCCTACTCTTCACCTTTGGTTACTTTACGCCCCGATTCGTTTTCGTTTAGACCTCTGAGGCAACCCGGCTTCGTTCGCTTTTCGTCGTCAACACCCTGGAGCCGCCGGACTAACGGGGTCCGGCATCAGCTTCTGTCAACTTTTCTTGCCCACGATCCTACTGATGATGTGTCACCTGCAGGAAAGCTCAACAGCTTTTTTTCTTTTTCTCGTTTTTCTTTTTTTTTGTTCCGAAGTGTGGAGGGGGTGTAACGGGTCAAATGTGTAGGGGGTAAAATAACGGCTAAACCACGAAACTTAAACAGCTGAATGTAAGCTGTTGTTGTGCCCTAGTCGCGACGCTAAACTGACATCGCACCTAACCTCCAATTCCAAGACAGCAGACGACGTTGGTGTCAGTTTGGTTGTTTGGTTGTTCGACTGCGTCTGAGGGCGGGCTACGGGAGAGAATAAGAGCAGCTGATCCACTTTGTGAGCGAGGCAGCTATAAAGCATGTTAAAGCTGTCATACGCCTGCCTTTGCTGACACGGGACTCAGCTGACTCTGTTTGTGCTGACCAATCAGGAAGCGTTTTAACTTTCGTCTCGATTCTGAGACGAAGGTGAGGGAAGAAGAAGAGTTGTGGAGGAGAGTTGTCATTCGTATTCCCGGCTTTTCGCGAGTTCGTTCGTCTTCAATTTGAAGAGTTTTTGTTATTTGGGACTTACTTTTTAATTCTTAAATCTGTTTCAAAGTTCCTTTAGCGTCCCGAAGTTTGTCCCAGCAGACAGGTTTCTGCTGGACAAGTTCTGTCGAAAACAAAGCCAAAAAAAACGAAAAACTAAAACTTTAACTTCTTCACGTGTTCAACTTAGACCAACTCTAAGTTGAACACGTGAAGAAGTTAAAGTTTTAGTTTTTCGTTTTTTTTGGCTCAAGGAGCAGTTTCACCTTTTTAGTTTCGTTTTTTTGTTCGTTCCTCACCTGGACCACTTAGGCTAACTTGTTTTCTTAAAATTTAGTAAATTCGGACTCTGTGGGAGTTAGGCTAGGTTAGGCCTATCTTGTACTAACCTTGTTTGTTACAGGTTGAAGATTTAACTCCGTAGGTAAGCGGAGTGACTACTTAGCTTACTTATTGATTCGTTAAGTTAGCTAGTAGTGTATCATTTAGATATTTGCCCACAGAGTCAAGTCAAAATTATTATTTTCCCCACAAGCCCTAGGCTAGAGTGGTGATTTCTAGTTGGGTGTTTAGTAACCCGTAACGTTCGTCTCGAGCTCTGACAACCAGGGCTATCAAATTTAGGCTATCCGAATCACTATCGACTCCTGGGAAACTCCCCGCGACCAGACTAGGGCGAATCCTGGGATCTTCGTTTTATTACCGGTGGCGTAATTTCCCACTTGTCGTCCGCCAGGAAAATTACGTCACACATCCAACCCCATGGACAACTTTTGGGTACAAATTAACAAATTAAAAAGCTATTTAGATATTTTTCTAAAGATTGCAAGATGGTGTTAAGTCTAGGTTATATCTTTTATTACTGTTATTAGGAATTTGTTATATAATCTAAAAAAAAAAAAATTATAAATCACTTTTAAGTGTTGTAAAACATGGTTGGAGACATTTATGGAAGTTACATTTAAAATATTTTCCAGATTTTATCTCTTAAACGTAATAATTTCAATAAAATATCATTGGGATCTCTTAAATAAATACCTCTTGTTAGCGAATTTCCCTATAGGGAAGTAGCTATTACCATAGGTCTCATGGTAAGACTTAGGCCCGGGACCGATTTACTTTTTCATTTTGATGTCCCCAGAGGCCAAAAACACCATTCGTTCAAATTTTTATATATGAATATATATATATATATATATATATAAATATATATATAGATTTATATATAATATGTGTCCGTGAACACGATAACTTGAGTAATTTTTATCCGATTTTGATGAAATTTGGTTTGAAGGTGTAAGGCGGGATAAACTTGAATGAGTTCGCGATCCAGCATGATCGGACCATGGGAACAGGATTTTATGTGGTAAAAATTGGTTTTTCTCACTTTTGACCCTCAAAACACAAAATTTTCCAATTTTTCTCTAAACCTTCTTAAAGAGCTTAAAAAAACAAACAATTCAGTATATCAAAGTGTTTTTGTACGGTTATTGGTTACGGAGAAAACTAAAAAAATTTAAAATTCCCATGTTATTCTTATGGAGAATATTGTAAAATGTTGTAGTTTGCTTGTTTATGGATATCTTTTGATCAAACTTGGCAAATATATTCATTTTATACTAAGCAATAATTATTTTACTTAAAACACACACTTTATTAGTTTCCTTGTAGCAGCAAACCTAGGTACTCGTTAAACCTAATGTTATTTTAATAGATCAATTGAAAATCAATTCAGCCAAATGGAAATTCGCTTAGACGGCAGGTTTGCTGCGGCGGGGGTATATTTTATTTATAAAAAGAATATCAAGCTTATATAAATTAGTTTTTTTTAGAAAACAATGAGGGACATAAAATTCCACTTAATTTCAGAATGGCTTGTAAACAAGTTTAACAAGGTTATTACCTTTTTAATATTATTCTTTTCAATTGGAACATCAACCAACAATAGAGTATTTTAGACACTTAATCTGCTATTTTTAATTTCTTACTTCTAAAGTTGTATAACTAATATATCATTTACCATGCCTCTCTATTACAAAAATAAAACCCTAAATTTTAATGACATTTAGCATTGAATAATCCATAAAGTTATTAACCAGAGGAATAGAGAAAATACATTTTTAGGTCTAGATAACTTTATAGGTTAACATACACTCTGACTGTACGGTTGTATAAATGTGTTAATAGGGAAAATTAAATTAACACAATGACCTCAATTTCTAAGTAATGGGCTTTGTTAGTGATATTGAAGTTGAGAGGATTATAATATCTCAATAATCTGATCCGAGGTGATTTTGTCTACTGCACTGCTCAAGTCGATCAAACTCCCTTGGGGAGTACTTTGTAAGAAATTGCCGTAATATTACTATAAAAAGTTTGAAAATCAACTGAGAAGTGATGTCCTAACATTTTACTGTGTACACAATAAGTCGCGTGAGTACGGAGAGAATTGCATGAGCACCAAAGCGAGAAACTGTAAGAGGAGTTTGGAGCCAACTGCACATTCTCACCATCAACAATAACTGGGATTTCACCCAAGGTCAAATCTCTTTTGTATTTACATACAGCTACAGTGTCTGTGTCTCTCGTTATTGATAAGGTGGGGGTGCAAAAAATATATATCAAGCCACAAGTGACAGAACACAATTCTATTGTGGCTTCTTGTGGTCTAGTAGTCAATGTAAATGTAGTTTCACAGTTATGGCGATTGGAAGCATACTCGAGTATAAACTTTTTAACAATCAATCCTGATTTATCCACAGGACAATCTCTCTTCTTAATCACATTGCAGATAGTTGTAAGTTCGGGCTGTACTTGTCCAGTTTTACGAGATTCACACACTAGCGCTACTTCTTCATATGTCAGTACTTTTGAGGGAATTACCTCTAGAAAAATGTCATCATTGTCCATTGAACACACCCTGATGTGTTGAAGATGATCGTCTAGTTGATCCCTCAAAACTTGGCCATCCGAGTTTCCTGAAATAAAATATTTCATTTTGAATTGAAAATAAATCAGTAAATGTCAAGAGGAGGAGGAAGTAAAAAAAAATACTCTTATAATACTTTTTAGACACAAAATTAATTTTTTTTCGTGCCGAATACAGAGAAAATTATTAAATCTTAAATCCTAATTAAACTTACACTGCATGATCCAAATCCGAATCAAGCTATACGATCCATACACTCTGTTATTTACAATCTTAAGAATAGCTTAGAAAAACTGATTTTACAGGAGCTCCCGGCAACTTGGATCTTAATTTAAACTAGGATTGCTTTCATGGCAGTGAAAGCCAGTTGAGCGGAGCAATCATGTTTCATTGTTTTTAATAAAGCAATAAATGAAAAAAATGTTTATAGGTATAATACAAAATAAAAATGTTCCCTTCCCCCACTCTGCACTGCTAGCCTTTCCTAGGTACTTCTTTCACCACTTCTTACATCGTGGACCTGTTTCCCTCCCTTCCCATAGCATTGTAGGATTTCCGATACATTAATCTAACTGCCACAAAGGGTTCCCACACTCAGCACCTTTAGCCTTTACTACTTCCTTCACCACTACTTACCTGTTTCCCTCGCTTCCTAGTAGAGATGTGCACAGGTTTTTTAGGTCGAGTCGAGTAATTGGCAAAAGATTCGATTCTCGAGTTCGAGTCGAGTTTAAACCAAAAAGATCGAAGGATGTGTAAGTTTAAGTAACTCCTTAGGCTAGGCGTGCATGTAACGTGAAAAAAACCTTTTTACAAGCTGGAGTACAATTATAAATAAATTAATTATTAATACTTGTACAGTAACATATCAATATAATGCATAGAAAATAATTTTAAAACAACAACAATAGAGCTCATAAATGCACTTCTACTTCTGTGAAAAATAGGTAAGTGAGCATATATTTATTTATCTAAAAATCTATATAATTAATACGCTACATGAAACTTTGTCGGTTGAACTCCTCCGCCATTTCTTAACCGATTTTATCCATTGACGTCTCATTGGAAAGAGCGTGTCGCGTAGATTTGCAAACTGGCCTTACATTTTTGAAAAAGTCCCTTCGGCTCTGCCCCAGTGGCTTTGAAAGTTCCCATGTTATCCTTATGAAGAAAATAATTGTTTACGTTTTGATCAGCTGTATAATTTATTTGCTGTTATTTATTTTTCAATTCAATGAAACACATTGAGTACATTTATTTACTATTTGAGTTTGTGTAAACATAACCCCCAAGACGGATTGTGTTAGTATGGTTGTATCTTAAATTTGTGTATTTATTGTTGTTTTGTGTCGCTATGTCGGATCGTGTTAGCATGATTGTAACTTAAATTTGTGCATTTATCGTTGTTTTGTGTAGCAATAATTTGTTTATTTGTTGTTTTTTTCCTTTAAATGCCTCCGACGCGACGACAACGAAACTAGACAGGAGGCGTAATCGTGATAACGACCGCAGCTACAGAACAGTGATGCGTAATAGGCTTAACTCATCAGAGTCAGCACCTGACCTCGGACAATCTCAACTATTAGGTTACAAATGCACCCTAACAATACCCAAAACGACTTTTCGTTCTCAATTGGCCCTCTATCAATGCCCTGTGTTGCCTGTACAGCGAGGCATTTTGAGAAGGAGAAAACCGGCCGGAATGCTATAGGTTTATCAATAACGAAGATAAGCATGGTCCGAGTTAAACGCCGGTAATCTTTGGGTTGACTCTTTTAAACTCATTGTAAATATGGCTGTTATTCGTTTTGAAATAACTCCTGTAATACTTGCAATTGCTCGAATTCGAGCAACATGTACACTAGTTAACTACATTAATCCCGTATTAATAAGTAATATTGCATAATACTTGGCTAAAATTACTTAATACTTGCATTTATTTGTTATTAAGGTTGCAATTACTATATAAAGTTTAATATAGAGATTTATTCTAAAACTTGAAATCTTATTTCCTACCTTTTCACCTTTAGTTATTTTGTATGTTAATTAAACAAACATTCTGTCAAAATACTCAAAATGTATGTTCAAAATAAAGTAGGCCTACTTAAATAGGCCTACATACTAGTAGCCTACCTTACTGTTAAACAAAACAATTGTAGATTGAACATTGAACTGAATAATGTAATAGGCCCATACAATAGTAGTAATAGAAATCAAATGAAACCTAGACTTAGGCCTAAATCACTATAATCAATTGTATTCCATGCTTATTAACCACATTAATGCAAGTTGTCAAGCAGGAAAACAAACTATGTAACCTAGATTTAGGCCAAGCCAAATTAGTTATTTTGAGATATTTGTAAGCTTTAGTAGGCTACCTAACAGAAACATTTGTTGTTTATTACCGTAGATAAAAAATACTTTGCTTATGTTACTTTCTATTAGATACAATAAGAAAAAAATCTGTTATTAATAACTGATGATAACATCTCAGCTGATTATGAGTAATGCGTAGAAGCACAGAAAACATACTACTATAACCCAGAATGCCAACCGCATAGTAAAAATGGTTAAGTACTTTGAGAGAGCTTTGCCTGTCAGTTCGTAGGCAGCGCCACCAGCGTTGCAATGCACTCAGCATAGCAACGCTGGTGGCGCTGCCTACGAATTGACAGGCAAAGCTCTCTCAAAGTACTTAACGCTTTTTACCATGCGGTTGGCATTCTGGGTTATAGTAGTATGTTTTCTGTGGTAGAAGTCTCTAATGGGAATGGGGTGATCGTGATTAACCTGTTGAATGGGTGGAGGGAACCAGAAGAAAAAATTGAAGAAGGAAGAGAAAGTATAATGATGTTTTTATGTAGTTATCTTTAAATTAATGTTATACAAGTTTACAGAATAATTATTTTCAACCACGGGAACATCAATTTATAATTATCAACTTATAACAGATGCGTTATAAGTTGTTAAGGTTATTAAGTTGTTAAGGTTATTAAGTTGTTAAGGTTATAAGTTGTTAAGTTATGTTAAGGTCAATGACCCAAAACATCACGAATGCGCAATGTTGTATTTTGATGTAAAAATGCAAATAATGGCATTAACTCTAATTCGAATAATATTTCTCCTGGTCCCTTGCAGATTGTATTATCAATGCTAAATAATTGTGGTCAATTCAAATTATATTTTTTAAGATTCAAATCTCCTACACAAAAAGACAAGTCAAACCAGGCAAGGAAAAAAACTGCTATTGTAATCCCCCTGCCCCTACCCAACCATTTGGGAAGTGGTGAAAGTCTAGTCTGGTCTAAATATAGCTCAAAGGTCTCACCCTCCCCTTCCCCCCCCAAACCCCTACACCACTGTTGCTATGCCCGCTCCTTTCAAGGTCATTGCCCAACCCTTCTATTGTTTTGCCTTTATAGTGTTTCTATTCTGACTTTTTTAAACATAGATTTATTGCTTACGTTCAGTAGTGGAATTTTCTATTGTGAAACAGTAGCCTACTTTAAAACAAAATCACTACCAATCGGCGACTGCTTTGAGTTGACCTATTCTGTTGTGACAGCAATAAAAATAGGTTAGAACAACTACCTCTTGCTTATTTCTACATCGTAGAAATATTTGTATTACTGTAGAATCTACAGTATTACAAATTATAAAGCATTTTATGTAAACACAAGTTACATTTTAACAAATATTGATTTTTTACAATTTTAAACCAAACTCGACTCGAAACTGCCGAGTTCAAAGATAAGCTCAAGTTTCAAGGCCGTACTCGACTCGAACTCGAAATCTCGAGTACTCGCACATCTCTACTTCCTAGAGCATTTTAAGATTGCAGATACATTAATTTAACTGCCACAGACAGTTCCCACACACCGCACTGCTGGCCTTTACTACTTCCTCCATCCCTTCTTAAGCCGTGTACCTGTTTCCCTTCCATCCCATAGTATTTTGGTATTTTAGATACGTTAATTTAACTGTCCAAAAGTATTCCCACACTCCGCACTGTTACTACCTTCCTTCGCCTTTACTACTTCCTTCACCACTTCCTACGTCGTGGACCTGTTCCCCTTCCTTCCCATAGTATTTTAGTATTTTACATACGTTTATCTAACTACCCCAAAGCGTTCCAACACCGCACTGCTAGCCTTTACTACTTCCTTCACCACTTCCTACGTCATGGAACTTTTTCCCTCCCTTCCCATAGGATTTTAATATTTTAGATACATTAATCTAACTGTCCCAAAGCGTTCCCACACTCTGCACTGCTAGCCTTAACTACTTCCTTCACCACTTCCTACCTCATGGACCTGTTCCCTTCCCATAGCATTTTAATATTGCAGATAGGCTACATTAATATAACTTCCGCAGTCGGTTCCCACCCTCCGGAGTGTTTGCCTTCACTACTTCTTACGTCTTTTACCTGTTACCCTCCCAACCCGTAACATTTTAGTTATGTATATATTGCAAATACATTAATGTAACTGCCACAAACGGTTCCCACACTCTGCACTGCCAGCCTTTACTACTTCCTTCGCAACTTCCTACGTTGTGGACTTGTTTCCCCCTTCCAATAGCAATTTAGTATTTTAGATACAATTTGCTACGCACCTTAAAGCTTTCTATAGATCTATTTATTAACTTAGGCCTACAAAATTCCTTTGGCTATTAATTTAGCCCACATAGAACTCAAAGTCATTTCTTAATAAAGATAATTCCTAACTTGTATTTTATTTCTGTCTAATGAGGTAAGTCTTTATCTTAATATTATAATATATGAACTATTTTAAGAATAAATAGATTTGGTAAGTTACAATATGAAATTTATTAGTGAAATACAAATATAAGATGAGTTAAATTGGTTGAATTAGCTATAGGGTCTAACAATGGTAAATTTACAAAATGGTGGAGCTTCCAAAGTGGATAGAACGATTCTAGGCTATAATAGATATTGGGTTGGTTTCTTCTGAAGTGATTAATATTTAAATATATGAGCTCTTGATCTCAGGGAGGAGTGGTCGTGCCGGTTCGAATGATATATTAGCATACTTGGGAATAACGAATAGAAATTCTAACGAATAGCGCTATTCGTTAGTTTTTTTGGCTAACTTCTATTTTAGTCGTTAGTTTTTAAAAAGGGCTGGAAATAATTTCTACTCAGTTAGTTTAATAGACAACGAATAGATAATATATTCGCTAGTTTCAAATCGTTAGCTTTTCGGGTCAGGCGAAAGTATTTCCAGTAGGCCTACGGGTTATTTATTTTACGTGTTCAGTGAGGGTTGCGTGTTGTGTGTGCACGTGAGATGTCAGGTCAGCGCCCTTGTTGACAAACAACGTGGGGGGTGGGGAAAGAGAAAGTCAAAGTCCAGTCGCTTTGGTATGCAGCGGACCCGAGGGGCGAGCCAATGGCAGCCAATAACAATACTCCAAGCACCGAAGGGTGGGAAGGGGGGTGTTTGTTTGGCGATTGATATGTACTGTAATCTCAAGTGTCAAAACAATGTCTTCACTTCAGTCGATGTTCAATATCTGACAGTGACAAGTGATATTTTTTTGTTAGTTTCTTAGTTGTCTTGTCGTTATATATATTTTAGTGATAGTTAAATATTTTAAATACATAAGTTATTAAGGTGAACAGCTTTAATTAAGTAGGAGTAGATTAATAATATTTGTTTGCAATGGCGGGCGAGTGTGATATCAAGTGACCAATCTTAAGTGACATATTTCAACCAGTTGAAAAAATGAAGAGGGTGGAAACGCGTTAAAATGTTTATTGTGTTTGTGCCAAAAACAAAAATAATTAAAGCATCTGTCACAAGTGCTTCGAGGCAAGTGGAGAAAAAGTATGATAGTCTCGTTTTTAACTTGAAGTGGAATAGACCTATATATTTTTTTAATGAATATAATTTTTATTTTTTAGTACACTTATAGTGTATTTCTCAATGTGTTTCCCATGCTCTTTTAAACTTTATCTCGCCACAAATAGGTCACTTTTAAATTTAGTACTAAACTATACTTTTATCACACTAGAAAAACTACTCATCAGACTTTAAAAAATTATTTTATATTTCGTAATTCATTAATTGCTGTCCATTAATTGTCGTACAATAAATTTTAGTGTAAAATTCAGCTAATTGAACATCAACAAACTGTGTTTTTACCTAACCGGGAACTTCAGTTGTAACTTATGTTTGTGTATCGAAAGTAATGTTTATGTCAGGAAAGGTGAGATGATCACTATTTGTTTTTGTCTTTTGAACTATTGAAAACGGAGTGATGACAAGTTTTTGTATCAACTTTGTCGGGGAAATAAATATGTGCACTCGAGTTTGAGCCTAAATATATCTGAGATGAATTATCCGATTTTGTTGAAACAAAAATTTAATATAAGCTGGTTTAAATACATTTTACGTGGTGTCAATTTAAAAAAATCCGTTTACCAGAAAATTTTATATAGTTGAAGGATCCTAAAAAGTACCGGTTTTTAAGAAGAAACTCTGCACTAACACTGAAGTTTAAAATTTATTTGTAAAAAAACCACCGAGCCAATCTTTCTGAAATTTGTATGGCTTATTGGTAGGTTCATTGTTAACATTTCCATGCATTTTAACAATTTTATTCACAATAGTTTTTATGCTGCTGTTAATTTTTAATACGTATGCTAACATCGTTAATAAGGCACTGAAAATTTCGTTCAAAATACCATTGTGTTTGCCGTGAAACAAGAAATAACACCAATATGACAGATTTTATAATGCGAACAAAGGTTGTTTTTAAACAGATTTATATTTGTAGACAAAAATTTCTCCCGTGACTGGCAGCGGGCCGCCTGGTGTTTGTACGATATTTCCCAGCCGGGCGGGAGCACGTGCGAATCTGCGAAGTTGCCGATGTCTACCTGACTACCACACTGACATTGCTATTCAGTATACACTCACGGCAAACTAATGTGTATATCATTATTTAGTTATAAATTTACAAACAAAATATTCACTAGTCATGAAACAAATACATTATAATAAGATAACTACAAATATAAATCAACAAATTAAAAAACACCTTTGTTCACTGCGAACGCCTGTTCAGAGCGGCAAGCCTAGTCATCACTGACAGAGTAACAGACGAGGAAGAATCAGCGACACCAATTTTGAAAAACAACTTCTTTTAAAGTTTAATAGGCATTTAAAGTAAATGTTGTTGTACTAATGAATGTGTTTACATTACATGTAATGTAAATGTGACGATGTTTAATTAATATTTAGTTAAAACACAATAATTAGAAACCAAGATGTGTCATTATTTCATTACATATGAAATCCTTTAAAACAACCGTCCAACAAACAATTATCTTCTACAAATGTAAAAAAATGACTTTTTTTGTATCAGTTAGTTTTTCAACTAACTAATAACTTCTATCAGTTACTTTTTAAACTAACTAACTAGTAACTTCTATCAGTTACTTTTTATGGGACTAACTTCTATCTTCTAACTTGTTAGAAATTTTGACTAACTTTCCCAACTATTTAAAATAGGCTTCTTTAAAATGCAGATAATTTAATTATTATTCTGAAATAGGCTAGGTTCATGGTGCTATAATGTAATATGTTAATGTCCAAAGAAAGATTCCAATTGGTTTCAATGAATTTAATGGAATAAAATAAGATTTGAAGATTAAATTTTGAATAAAAGTTAAATTTGAAGTATGAAGATCTTGATGACTTAAGTTAATTGGGCCTATTAGGCTATGGTGACTAAAAAAATGTCCAATGAAGATTTGTCCTTAGTTATTTAAACAAGATGGATGATGGTTACCAAAATTTGGAGTGTCTGTCTTCACCTTTGTACCATATGTAATAAATAAAATAGGGGTTGGTTAAAATTTGGTACTCTTCAAGGCACTTGTCCCGAATACTTTTGGATGATAAGAAATTTAAAATTTAGATTACACTTTGGGATGAATTTAATTTAAGTCAAGCACAATGTCCTATAAAATGATGTTAACACTGTGAAGAGTTGGCAGGATCTGGGGAGAGGCAATGGTTGAAGCTCAGGAAATCCATGTCCATTGTTGAAATGATGTACAGCTGGTTAATTCACATAAATGACACTTGCCACAGTAATTTTTATTTTCTTTGGATAATTTTGAAAAGTAATACTATATTTAAGATGTTATTACTATATTGCAATTTTCTTACAATTATATATTATTCTAAGTAAATTTGATTATTGTTGGTTTTTGGTAAGTATAGGATAGATATGGTGAGAATTGGCATAAATATTATATTGTAACATAAAATGGGATGATATTTCTGTGGGGTGATGGGATATTATATAACATAGAACAAAACTGGAGAAAATAATACATTAACAAGGAGAAACATATTAAATAACTGATAACACATTATCAGGGGCATTAACATACATTATAGGAGAAAATATACAAAATAATAGAGAAATTAATGTTAATGATGAATGAATGACATGTAATATTACAAATTATATAACTGCCACAAACGTTTCTCACACTCCGCACTTCTCGCTACAACTTCCTACATCGTGGACCTGTTTAAGTTTGCCATTTATGAGTTGGATCCATGAATGTGATTCAACCTACAAATTGTTTAAGATAAATAAAAATGTTATTTCATAACCTTATTTAGCTACGTTTAAACAAAATCTGTTAAATACTGAACCTAAGAAAGAATATGTTTTATCTATGACTGTAACTATTCGATCAGTGGTCTTTTCCAAATTACGACTTAAATGTAAACAAAAGACTTTCTCCGTATTATTTGATCAGTTGTCATCATCCAATTATTTTTCCTTTACTGTGTTTAGGTCTTGGCTTGATTTGAACATATGCCATGATTCTTTGTTTTGTTTACATTTACGTTGTTATTTTGTAACCATCATGGCAGTCCATAAGACCAATGTTAAAATTTAAAAACTTTGAGCTCCTTTAAAACTATATAGGCATTATCAAAAATTGAAATTGGTTATGTCCAAACCATCCAACCATTTGACAAAGAAATCTTGGTAAGTTTGGCTAAAATATGTTCAGCCGTTATTGAGATTAAGTCATTAAGTGTTATAAAGATTGCATTGAAGTTGAACCCAAAGAGCTTCGCTTATAAAATTTTAGTTAAATTTTTCATAAGCCTACCATTGGAGGAACACTCTTGAATTAGACAAGGACAAGTAATTTAAGGGAAACTAGACTTTTCACAGACAATCTGACTCTGCCCGCAGACCCTCTGCTTGCTCTCAAATTTATATTGTACTTTTTTACCTTGTCTTTTTGCCCAGTTGATGGCTGCGCTCCAGAGTTCAATCTCAGGCACATTGCAGACTTCTTGTTCCAGTATTCTTAAGAATGCACTAGAAGAGAGGTCCAGGAATTGAGGAGAGGCCAGTACCTGTTCTGTTTCAAACTGCAGGATCTAAAAATAAGCATTAGGAATTAAATGTTTGGCAGGTGAAGTAAGCTGAACAATGTTAATGAATCATATGAGAGCAGTAAGCAAGAGCTTGAGCAATAACAAAACAACTTTTAAAATGCTTAGAGAAGATAGAAACCATGCTTATTTATAATCTAGCTGTTTTCCTGTAATGCCACAACAAAAGTATTTGTACAAAGCAGTAAAATAATGGGATCGGAATAAAGTTATTTAAGCTTTAGACATTTCATAATTGTTTGGACAATTTTAATATTTATTTTGTATTTATATTTGCAAATTACAAAATGTTGTTATTGATTCAGGATGAGTATCTATCTTGTCATTGTGATTTGTGACCACTATAAATGATAACAGATTAATTGACTTTTACAAAAGGTTGCAAGGTCTAAGAATAAGGACTAAGGATGGCAGAATTTGCCAATACATTGAGTAAAATATTAATAGCTAAAATATAGAGCGCCACAATATGTGTACAATGCAACACAGAACCATATTTTACATAGAAAAATAATTTGAAAATGTCCAGTAAGACTTTTTTGATTTTGGCTCATTTTTTGTAATTTTTCTTAAATATTTAATAGCTCAAAGCCTCAAAGTAATATTTTTATGAAACATTAAGGTTTATGTTATTAGGCTAACAGTTTATCTTAACACATTATGCGACGCCACGTTCATTGCCACGGACCGAGGTATACATTTTAATCTTACACATAGACTGGCTGTCACTTGGTTAACAGTACACGCAGACCACGCGCAAAAACCAGATAAAAAGTTGTCATTTACTTGTTTTTAAATAATTATTACATTTTTCTTGAAATAGCCCATACATGCGACAGTTCATTTTTGTTTTTGTTTTTAGGCAAAGGTAAGAAAAAAAACTGATTTTTCAAAAACTGTTTATAAGTGAACAAATATAAAAGCTACATAGGATAATATGCTCCAATGGTAAATTGTCATAAAATGAATTGCAAAAAAAAGGTCTTTTATTATTGAACTATAGAATTCAAAGCTTATAATGAAACAAATCAAAAATCTACGTAGGCTAATGATGTGTTGCTACAATAGTAAATTGTCTAACTATTGTATCATATGACGTGACCAATCATCATATCCACAGACCAAGCGACGCAGATGTGTAACAGACGTCCCTGTAGACCTGCATTGGTCTATTTACTGCATTGTAAAGTCAGGGCCTTCAAATAGACCGTTACAAAGATATAAGCGTTTTAATAACATTGGAACACAGACGCAAATATGGGACGGCAGTCTATGGGTAGAAACCAGCCGTCGCATATGTGCATCGCTAGTCAATATGAACGAAAAATTTTGTACTATTGTGGTAGCGAAAGTGTTATACATTGCTGAATTTTGAATAATAATGATTTTTCTAATATCGCATGAACTTTGATACAAATCTAACCTCGTTTATAATTGTGTTCAGCTCCAAGACAGTGAAGCACACAGGGTTGTTCATCAGACTGCAAATATTGCTAGCATTAAGCATGGACATCAAACGAAGTGAAAGCAAATTTTTCAGTTTGAGCATCTGGTATTTTTCTGCCGCATACAACAAGTCATCTGTCTCATCAAAGGTTAATATTGCGGTGTTGTCATACCCGTAAACATACCTGAAATTATTAAATACAATTATTAACAAGAACTGTATAAACTCAATTTAATCATTTCATAATGCAAACATTTAACTAAACAAAAACATTGAATTAAACAAACATAATAACATTTAATTCTGAACATCTGAAAATCCTAAAAACATATGTAATAGTGGTCCCCCCCTTAAAGTTTTGTGCGCAGCATCTGGTCAACATTTCGTCCCCAAGTTTGACCATCATCCATTCTACAGTGGCGTACTGTCGGGGGGGGGGGGGGGGGGGGCGGTCCGCCCCAGGCCTCAAACCAACATAGGTCCCCAAATCAGGGCCATATACCCCCAGCGGCGGACACGGTGTGGCGATTGCCAAGGGCCTCTCATCGGCCTAGGAAGGGGCCTCACTTGGGTCTCAAAAACGTATTTTCTCTTGGAAAATAATTTTTGCTGTTTGAATATAATAATCTGTTCTCACAATCGCGGCAGGCGTCTGCAAAGATTGCGCGATCAAAAGTCACGACTCCCAGGGATCGCGGAAGACGTTAATTAAGGTCTCGCAACCGCAAAAGATGTCCCGTGTTCACGATTTTGCCGTGATCGCGGGGGTCGATAATGTTGTCCGCGTGTTCACGGGAGATGTTAATGACTTCCGCATGAAGAATATATCCCTGTGTCCGCAAAAAATGTTCACTATTCCACTGTAAACATAAGAACGATTTCTCCGCGGTCTCGGAGATAACCCGCGCGACCGCGGCAGACTGAGATTACGACCCCGCAAACACGGACGTTCACGATTTCGTCTTCACCGAGTACAATATCGTTAATTTTTTCCCCGATTGCAGAATTCGTTTGGACCAATTACATTACAAAATGAAAATATAATGTATAATCTAAAGATAACATAATTATATATTTTATGCAAAAATAGTAGGCCTATCTCTTAAATAAAAAAAATTAAAAGAAGTGACAGAAAAAACCTTGATTTGTGTCACTTCTTGTTGTGCTCGTGCTCATTACGAATCTCCAACTCATAAAAACATAAAATGTTAAAAGCTTATAGGAAAATTTAATTTAGCATCATTAAATTTTTCTCAAATAAAAAAATAGATTACTTTTAAAATAGTTGAAGTAAACTCATTTCATCAGTGATAAAAAATACAATAAAAGCATATATATATTTCTTTTTAGTTCTAATCTCTGTTTGTTTAGGGTTACTTTTTAATAAACACCCTGTTTTTACCCCTGGTACCCTGTTTCAAATTACATAGACATAGACATAGACATACTTTATTTGCACAAAACATTCCATACATGTCATTACATTTAGAATAGTTGCATTTTCTCAAATAAAAAAATAGATTACTTTTAAAATAGTTGAAGTAAACTCATTTCATCAGTGATAAAAAATACAATAAAAGCATATATATATTTCTTTTTAGTTCTAATCTCTGTTTGTTTAGGGTTACTTTTTAATAAACACCCTGTTTTTACCCCTGGTACCCTGTTTCAAATTACATAGACATAGACATAGACATACTTTATTTGCACAAAACATTCCATACATGTCATTACATTTAGAATAGGTGCATTGTCAAAATTACAGATCCATACATAAAATATTTAACATTAAAACTTAACTTAAAATTAAACACTTAAAATGAAAAAAAAAATTACAAAAAATAAAAAATAAAATTTTCTAAATTGTAGTTCTGTAAAAATCTTCAATTAAGTAAAAAGCCCTGTCAATAAGCAAACTATCTATTTTCTCTTTAAATTTGGTTTTGCTTAGTGACTTTAAGCATGGCGGAAGCACATTGTACAATCTCAGCCCAGCATACAATGGAGATTTTTCATAAAGGGTCAAACGGTGTCTGGGGAGTCTAAATATATTTTCATTTCGGGTTTCATACCTGTGATTAAAATGTATTGTTTCTGGTAGCTCATTTTTAACTGAATGTATGTAATTTAATAATTCTAGAATATACAACCCCGTTAATGTCTGAATTCTTAAATTTTGAAAATGTTTCTTACAAGAACTGCGTGGATGAGAGTTGGTGATAATGCGAATAATACGTTTTTGTAACCTGAATAAAGTTTTAATACCAGTAGCTTGACCCCATAAAATTATGCCATATCTTAACACAGACTCCACATAAGCATGATAAACGACTTTAAGTGTCTCAATAGAAACACAGTCCCTTAAATGTATGAATAAAGATGATATCGACCTAATTTTGTTATGTAAATAATTCAAATGTGAATCCCATTTAACTGCGTCATCTACGTACACCCCTAAGAATTTATGAGCTTCAACTAAATTAAAAGAACAGTTTTCCATATTTTTGTGTCTAGTAGAAAATTTGATAATATTTGTTTTTTCAACGTTAAGTTTTAACCCATTTTCTAAAAACCATTGCTCCATATCCTTTACCACACTTTGCAGAGAAGAAAACATTTCAGTTGTATTATTATTTTTTATCAAAGCAGTAGTGTCATCGGCAAAAAGAATTAGTTCTTTATTAATAGCTTTTGGAAGATCATTAATGTAAATAAGAAAAAAAAAGTGGGCCCAATACTGAGCCTTGGGGAACACCTGTGGATATAATTTCCCATGGTGAATAATGTTTGTTGTTATCTTCTAAAATTAAAGTTCTTTGTTTTCTTTCAGAAAGGTAAGATTGTATTAAAGAAAAGCAACTTCCCCCAATCCCATAATCATTAAGTTTCAGCAACAGGAGTGAGTGATCCACACAGTCAAAAGCCTTAGACAGGTCACAAAAAACGCCTGCTGTGGCCTGAGACCTGTCCAAGGCCTCTGCAATCTCATTAACAAACTGAGTGAGAGCAGAAACTGTGCTTAAGTTTTTTCGGAAACCAAATTGTTTCTTGTAAAATAAATTATTACTTTCAAAATAATTAACTAGTCTACAGCTTATTACTTTTTCAAATATTTTTGAAATATTACTTAATACTGATACTGGACGATAGTTATTAATATCTGATTTTGAACCTTTCTTAAAAACGTTAAATTATTTTAGACATAAAATGATTTTAAACAGGGTACTATGGTATATATTATTTCACTTATAAATATGTTTGTAAAAAAGGCCCTCTCATCTAAGCCACCCCAGGCCCCCAACTATGACAGTACGCCACTGTCATTCTAACGTAGGAATGAAGATACCCATCTTTAATTTCTGTTCCCAAGGCCCACTTGTCTCGTCCTGAATAATTTCTGACTTGAACGCGGTCCCAGGATTGAATCTTCGCATTATGCCTTTTGGACTGGCAGGTTCGTGTTTTCTCCGTGGCTTCAGTAGGCTTAGGTAAGAGCCTACCTTCTAAACAAACTTTTTAAAGGAATCTTCTTTTTAAACATGAGGAAATATGAACAGGTTCTCATTAGAAGGATCTGGAGTGGCGGATCTGCATTAGAAATCTATGTGTTTTTTCATCGATGGTCCCAGGTTCTTTTTCCATACATTTAAGTGATTTTTTTACAGTTTGAACAAAACGTTCAGCCTGCCCATTAGATGAAGGGTGATATGGTGCAGTTGTTTTATGTGTGATTCCTACACTTTTCAAGGAAACTAGTAAATTCTAAGTAAGTAAACTGTCGTTTATTGTCTGACAAAATAAGATCTGGTAATCCAAAAGTAGAAAACATTTTTCGCAACTCTTTGTCTAAGTAGCTGTAGTACATTTTGTAGGTAATACTTCTACCCATTTGGTAAGTGTGTCAATGACTAACAGGAAGTAAAGTCCATTTGTAGGCAGTGCTGGATTTACCACTAGTCCGATTAGGCCCTTATAAGGGGGTCGCAGAGGATTGAGAAAAACATTTTTTTTTATTAAAAAATAATTGATTTTAAACCACCAGTTTCACAGGTGACCATAATGATGTCTCCCCGGACAGAGGGAGACGTTCACGATTTTGCCGCGGCCGCGGGTGACGGTAATGTGTCCTCATGATCGCAGCCCACTAAATTGATGCGTACTAAATTGGCAAATCCAATTTCGAAAGAAACATCCAAGGATGCTAGGCTTTATCCTAAAACAGTATTCACATCACTTCAGGCTATGTCTAGAGGTTTACTGTTTTATCTGTTTATCAATAAGATAATATCCATTGGTGATTGGTGGGATTTAAACCCAGAACTTCAGGGACTGTAATCCGAAGCTCTACGATGAGACCAATCCGCTCCAAGATACAAGGTGTGCTTATAGTAAGTCAGTCTTAGGCCCGAGGTGGATAGTATTGGTAAGTATAAGCTCGGGGTTGTTAGGCATACTAAGCAACCCCATATTAGTATAGTTAGTTCTACCCAAGCGTTATAACTTGAGCAGAACACTCGACGGGTCGGCTTAGAAGGTAAGTATTGTACCGTGAGGGAATACCTCGCGGCGGAGCTTGGCTGCTTGGAGGGGACATACCCTCCCCAGCAACGAGCAGGTAGGTATTGTACCGTGAGGGAATACCTCGCGGCGGAGCTCGGCTGCTTGGAGGGGTTATACCCTGCCACAGTGGTGTTCGAGCGGATTTGGACTACGGGACGAGGTAAGTGCCAGCTCTTGACCGAATAAGTGGTGACACACAAGGTAGGGTAACGTATAGTTACCAACCTATAAATAGGTCGGTAGGGTCACAATTAACATTAGTTGCCGCGAAAATTCGATAGTAAAGACCATTTGGTCTAAGGCCAAATTCGATATCTCGAGGTGGGCGATGATGAGCCCATTGTAGGCGTGCTTGGTTGCCGCGGACTGAGCTTAAACCTCGAGATATATAGGGAAATCGAGATTTAGGCTAACTAAAGACCCCTGGATAGTTAACCCATACCCAGAACTATCTGTGAAATTTGAAGAATAAAAATTTATCTTTAAGGGTAAAAATCCCTCACATTAATGGCGCCCGAATAGGGACTGTAAGTTTACCGTCATTCTAGTTTGATATCAAAGATTTTAGAGTTGGAGATAGGAAATTTTAGTCTTTAACATGGATACTTGGGTGTTGCGACTTTGGCGGTCATTTTTACATATTTTAGGGTTCAGTTTGTTTTTAATGAGCGTATCGGACTCAGATAGCCCTGGAAATGATGACGCCGAGTCAGGTAAGCCAAAAGTAACTGAAGACACCCAGACCACTCAGACTGGTGCGACGTCGAAGGGCCAAGGATTACCTGATGTCACGGCTACAGAAACTCGGGTTAGTTGGGTATACAATCTTTCTAAGTCGCAACTAAAGGGCGAGTTGAGAAAACAGGGTATGCCCGCGGATGGGACTGCTAATAAGTTAAGAGCTGACTTTGTACAGGCTATAAGGGAAGGTAAGGTCGGGACGGAGATGTCCTCAGAGCTCTCCCAGCAGCAACTGCAGGTCACGGGGAATGTAGAACTTGACCCTGAAAGGCAGAACGTCCGAGAAATATTGGGACTCCCGCCTAACGCAAACTTTTTAGAAGTACGACGTACTTTTGCAGCGTTAGTAGGTGGCCAGGCTGAAGGCTCTCTCTTGAGCACTCCCCAAAAGGTAACTGGTATACAAGTCTAACAAGTAGATGCACAGCAGTACGAAGCCCCCAACAGTAAGGGTGGGAGGAGACTGCAGTTCTCTGTAATACTGTGCGCAAACGGAACTTAAGGTTTGATGGTAGGAAAGAGACAGATGCAATGTCATTTATCGAGAGACTACATGTACATGAGCTTGTTTAATCTTACGAAGTGCCTAGGAACGAGGTGGTCCTTGTTCTCCCTGAACTGCTCAAAGATTCTGCGTTACTTTGGTATAGGAACAACAAGGAACTCTGGACTGGATTTGCAGACTTTTTGAATGATTTTCAGTTGCAATACTTCCCTCCCGGTTACTTACTACTACTTGATGATGAGATAAGGAGAAGAACGCTGGGTCAAGGTGAGCCTTTCAGACACTATTTGGTAGCACTTCTGACCCTAGTTAGAAGAAGAGGTGGTTTCTCTGAATGTGACAAGGTGGACAGAGTTTTCCTGAACATGCCCCTAACTATAAATTGTACATAAGGCGTTGGAATGCAATTAGTGTAGCAAGTATGATAAGGATGCTAATTCTAATGCTAATAAAGATTCTAGTTTTTTCAAAAGTAAAGAATGTTCACAGCTTCCACAGTTTCGAATCTGGCCCCTTTCAACAATTCCTTCACTTTTGGGAACATAAAAAAACCACACGGAGCTGTTCCAACACAGGGATCTCATGCTTGGCCAAAAATGTCTTAACCACCAGTGCAGTGTGGGCTGGGGCGTTGTCTTGATGAATAATCCACGACTTGTTCTTCCACAACTCTGGTCGCTATCTTTGCACTCGCTCACGGAGGGTGGCCAAAACCCCAGGATAGTATTCTTTATTCACGGTTTGACATTAAGCAAGGAAATTTACAAATAGTATGCCATGGATGTCAAAAAAAAAAAAAAAAAAAAAAAAAAAAAAACAATCATCATGGCCTATAATTTTGATTTTGATATTCAAGCTTTCTTTATTTGGGCTTCGGGGTTAATTCGGACTCTTCAAGTGCATTGATTGACGCTTAGTTTCTAGGTCATAGGTAAAAAAAACCATGATTCATCACAGGTAATAACTCTTTCTAATAGTTTAGGATCTTCCCTAATGTTTTTTAAAATGTCAGAACAGATTTCCATCTGCGACTCCTTTTATTCAGGCGTGATGTTATTTTCTAGCCACACCTCGTATGTCTTTATCGTAAATGCAGAAAAATAACAAACGTGAAAAATAAAACTAATAACGTACCTGAGTAAGTTCTTAAAGGTTTGTGGGAAGATATCTTTAACTTTGACATCATCTTTTTCAGCAATCTTAGAGTCCTTCAGTTGTGCTCTAAGAACCACACTATGGGCAAGTAGCATTTTCTTGACCACGCCAATTCTCTCCTGTGACACAACATTAGTTAACTAAATAGAACATTCATTTGTTTGTCACATATATCTGGCTAGTAAGTTGTTGTGACCGTACTACTGAAGTACTGTACACACAAATTGAAAAACAATATCTATTTATTTTAACTCCATAGATGCTTACATGTAATGTTTTCAAAAGTAACAATAAGGACTGTCAACTATTTAATTCCTAACAGCTATTTAGAATAGAGGAATAACAAGATTATGGCAAAAGTGAGCAGTCATTGATTATACCAAAGATTACACATGCTACGAAAAATATATATTGCAGCCAAGCCATTTATGTGATATCAAATTTCATGTGAGGCCTAGCGAATGTTTTCACAACCTAAGACTTAATTGCCGACATGACCAGGTGTTATATACAGGGTGATTACTGGAAAAGGCATGTTTTTGACTTTTGTAGTACATAAGGAATATTGTTTGGCACCGGCCGGGAGTTGTTGCGTTGTGGAGAGGGAAGTGTGCAGTTTCAATTTTTGCCGAGATGTGGAACCTTGATCATCGTGTGTTTGTCATGCGACGATATTACGCAAATGGTGAATCAGTCACTCAGATTCAGCGAGACTTTCGTGCACATTTTAACATTGCAAGTCATGGTGTTATCCCTGATTGTAACACGATATTGCGTTGGATACATAATGTTAACACAACTGGATCTTCGCTTAAGAAGAAACCTCCTGGACCGGCAAGGACAGTTAGTATCGCTGAGACAGTTGAAAGAGTGCGCCTTGCAACAGTTCAGAGTCCTAGCCGCTCAATTCGGAAGCGGGCGTCAGCTCTCGGACTTTGCCCATCCACTGTGAGAAAAATTTTGGTAAAAGATCTTAAATTTAATCTTTTCAAGCTGGCAGTCATCAATTGAGTCAAGCAGATAAGAGGAAATGTGTAAATTTTTGTGACACAATGAGTGAAATGTTAGACGAAAAAGTTATCCTTATGAGTGATGAAGCGCATTTCCACTTGGACGGAGCAGTTAACAAACAGAATTTACGATTTTGGTGAGCAGAAATTTCTCAAAACGTAGCTGAGAGACCTCTTCATAGCTTACGTGTAACTGTGTGGTGTGTGGTTAGTGAGAAGAGGATCATTGGTCCTTTTTTTTTAAAAAAAGACAACGACAGCAGAGCAGTGATTTAGTTATTGATAGCAAGTTAGTCTCAGATGGCACAGTTATTACAAGTCACTTTAATTCTAAATTTATTGAGGTAGGGAAGGATTTAGGGGTAAATTTTTCCAAGGGTAAGGCAATGGAACTAGTAAAAAAATCAATCACACATAGGCCTGATATTCCAATTTTTAACTTTAGTTTAGTTACACCTCAGCAAGTTATCAAAATAGTCAAGTCACTAAGCGATAAAAAAACAGCTGGTTGGGATGGGATTCCAACTACTATGATAAAAAAAGTAATTAAGTTTGTTGCTGAGCCATTGTCCATAATCATCAATCAGACTTTAACCAATAGCACTTTCCCTAATCATTTGAAGTATGCAGAGGTGAAGCCATTATTTAAAAAAGGTTCTAAGAGTAATTCAGATAACTACCGACCTGTTTCTGTCCTGCCTTCTTTTTCAAAGATATTTGAAAAAATTGCATTCAATCAAATGTCCTATTTTCTGGAATCTAATAACTTATTAGCTGATGAACAGTTTGGTTTGAGGAAAAATCGAAGTACCACTTCCACTGTGGCTCATTTTGTAAATTCAATAACAAAGAGCTTGGATGGGTCACAGAGCACTATTGGCGTGTTCTGTGATCTATCCAAAGCCTTTGATAGTGTACACCATCAAATTCTTCTTGATAAATTATCCTCCTATAGATTCTCAGAATCAGTTATTTTGTGGTTGAAATCATATTCAAACGATCGCTTTCAAAGAACAGTTATTATTAAAGAAAACATTAAGTATGCTTCTGAATGGGAAAAGATTGTTATGGGGGTGCCTCAGGGCTCTATATTAGGACCGTTATTGTTTTTGATGTACATAAATGATCTACCTAAGAATGTTAAACCTAGTTTGTTGTTATATGCTGACGATACGACAGCCATCATTAAATCAAAAGACAGTCATGAACTAAGTTTAGCCTTGAATCAAGCTCTTCAAGATCTGTCAAAATGGTTTACAGTAAACGGTTTAAAAATGAACCACATTAAAACACAAATAGTAAAATTTCAAACTGCCCAGTGTAGGGACGATCTTGAAGGCTTTGTTTATTTTGATAATGAAAAAATAAATCTTAGCAACACAGCTAAATTTTTAGGAATTGATGTAGATAGTTTATTGAATTGGAAGAATCACATTCATAACACCTCTAAAAAGTTAAATTCAGTATGTTTTCAAATGTTGGTCTTAAGAAATGTTGTTGATTTAAACACTAGACTAATGATTTATCATGCTTTATTTTCGTCAATTTTACAGTATGGAATAGAGCTTTGGGGCGTCACATCTGATTCGTATCAACTTTTTAAACTTCAAAAAAGAATACATAGAATTATGACTTTTAAACCCGTAAAACATTCTTGCAAACAACTTTTTAAAGAACTAAAGATTCTAACCGTCCCTAATTTGTATATTCTTAAATGTTTATTGTATGTGAAATCAAATTTTGAAAAACTCCACAGTGAAAATAATCGGCACAATTATAACACTAGATTTCATACAGATTTTCAATATCCTATACACAGATTAAATCTTGTGGAAAGGACACCTTCTTATATGGGTAAAAGATTTTTTAACAATTTGCCTGGGTACTACAAATCTATAATAGGATTAGTATCTTTTAAAGAAAAACATTTTGAATTTTTGTTGGAAAAGAATTATTATAGTATTGATCAGTTTCTCGAAGACAAATCAATGTGAATTGTTTGTTTTGTTACCTACTATGTATTTTTTTTTGGCAATATAAGCTAGTTTATTTTAGTATAGTTTGACAATGTCACCTGTTTTGTCTGGCTGTGCCAGAGCATTTAAAAAAACGTTTTGTGACAATAAAGATGACTTTGACTTTGACTTTGAGTGACAGTGAATCCACAACAAAAGATTTAATGACAGCGTCATGAATCAATGTATGGTGGCGATTACCACATTTCACACATGATTTTTGGGATCGGCAATCTTTTATTAAATGAGGGCCAAGACAGTTGAAACATAACCTTTTACTTGATAAGAAGTCCTTACGTTGAACAGGTGTTTTAGCATGGAACTCTTTGCAATATGCTATGTAGGCCTAATGATCATTACTACACAGTTTACTAACTGGCATCATATCAAGGAGCTTCAACTAGCTGATCAAGATTTCATGACCCCTGGGTCTGTAGATTTGATACTTGGAGCTGATGTTTATGGAAGTATCATTCTTCCTGGACTTATCAAGGGCCCGCCTCTAACTCCTGTTGCTCAATCAACCATCTTTGGTTGGGTGTTATCTGGGCCATGTGGATTTTTCATCAATGGCAATAAATCATCAATGTATCATTGCCTACTGGAGAACAAAGTAGATGATTTACTTCAGAAGTTTTGGGAACAGGAGGATTTTGCCAAAGATCCAGTTCAAGTTTTATCTCCTGAAAATCAAACGTGTGCAGAACACTCGCAATCAACACACTCTAGGACTGATAGAGGAAGACATGATGTTAAACCCCCACTAAAGGAGTCTGCCACAAATCCGGAAAATGACAAACTCATCTGCGTGGAAACATTGAAGACCAATAGCAAAATTGTGCTTTGTTTACTCTTTAGCAATTGATTCAGTGGAATTGATACGTTTAATGATGTTAGGATACCAAAGTTATATTATGTGTAGGCCTACTGTGAATTTTATTGGATAATATTGTTTTATTTTAGGTAGTTTCTATTCAGACCTACTGGAAATTGTGTATAGTATGAGTAATTGTATTGTGATGATAATAATTATGGAAGAGGCAGGTATGCGATGGCAGGTGGTATTGTTGACTAGGTCTATACACTTCTCAATTGACTATTACCATTGACTATTGGATACTGAATTATTATATTAATAGTCAAAGCTATTACCCTCTACTGTAGGCTACTTATAATCAGTGTGCGAATCGGCCGCAAATCTCATTTCAACGCTTTTCACATCGTCACAATTGCTGTTTTATTGTAAAGTTATCGGATTTAAAATGCATATCGTATAGGCCTATGATGGAATAAAACACATTTGGCCACTCAACATTTGTTTACAAGATGATTTTGCACATTGAAACTGCAAGAAAATATTTTGTCTTTATACGTGTAAACAAGCTGTTCTGAATTGTACACAGTTTTTAACTGACTACTTGGTCAGTATTCGACATGTCCAGTCACCTGTTTCCAGACATGCACTTTGTCGAGCAGTTTTGTGATAGCACGGCCTCACGTGATTGGTCAGATTTTCAAATATTGAAGAGTGGGAGAGACGCTATGATATTTGTAACGACTAAATCCAGTTCCGCTTGTGTCTTCACCGTGGTAACTCCCGTGTACTCGCGGTTAATATTGCATTACGCATTTCTAATTTACCCTCGTTCTCGCTTTATGCAGCGTCCGTCTGACAAAGTGTTATTTCATCCAGTTCACCACATAATTCTCAATTTAAATACATCAAGACGCCATTTTTTATAAGCTATTTCTCACTTTTCATGTTAAATTTCATGTTATTTCAAGAAACATCAAGCTCCAGTTTAAAGTCTTAAATCATTTTTTACTTTGCATTTTAATTTGCTATTTTTAAGATTTATTATTTTTGTGCAAGGCATAAAGAAGAGTGCCAAGTGTAAATATTTTTATTTTCATTTTTAATTCAAATATCACACGATGTAACGGTCTGAAAGAAAATCTTCTTTTATTCAACCGTCTCAATTTGCTGAGACTGATCACCTCAGCTATGTTTACACAGTCTCATACGCGCGCTATGCTGCCTGCCGTTAGAGACACAAAATGTAATACATACATACATACATACATGATACATGA